AAAAAAAAAAAGCCCAGTGAGAAAATCAGTAAGAAAAAAATTAAAAAGTATCGCGTTTAGTGATCAAAGTAACAGGAGGAAGCATTAACATTAATATTACGCAACTACATAGGCAGTAAAGTAATTCACAACATAAATAATTGTATTAGATGTGTAACATCGACGGTTCCTCAAAGTAGATTCTACGTCATTTTTTCAAAAGGCCGAGATAATCCGTGTTCTGTGATTTCCCGTACTTCGGGTGATTTCGTAAGGTGCCAGGCTTTAAACGACCCCAAATAAGGAAATGATGATTCCGATCAGCCAATCAAAACAGTAAATTGTTATCATGTGAAACATATCACATGCTGATTAACCAATAAAATTGTGAATTTTTATAAAGTAAAGAAAAACGAAATTAAAAGAAATTCCATTAAAATTTCTAGTTAAAGCTCAAAATAAATGCCGCCCAATGTTGTTGTTAGATAAGTAAGCATGTATTTATTAATTTAAAACGATTATTGATTTTTCAATAGTATTTATTTACAAAATCTCAATATCTATATATATATTTTAATTTACAACTAATTCTATGTCTAATTTCACGTCTATTTCTATATCTAATCAAATTTCTAGCATCTTACACTATACTATCTTACATTACACTGCTATTATTCTAATAAGAGCCTTTATGACTCAATACACATCATGTATATATAAACTTATATGTATCTTAAGAGCTTCTATCATTATCCGGAGCGTAACGGAGGATATTATGGGGGAGTGTGCACCTATTTTTAGATAGATGATCATCAATTTATCTAACTATGCTCCGGATACCTAACAGTCAGAGTTGGCAATGGAGCCAATGGAGCTCAATGATTATACGAATGAAGCTCAAAAAACTAGTATCCATTGGCTTCATTCAGAGCTCCATTGGTTCCATTCGCAGCTCCATTGAACTCCATTGCCAACCCTGCTAACAGTATCTGTTTTCCTATATAGTATAGTTAGTTATTATTATTAATATACCTTCAAGTTTCTAGAGAATTCTATATAACACATAATAAAAAAATTATGCAACCCAGTTTTTTCCTTCCACATTATCATTGTTAATCGTTATTTTAAACTTTTTTACATTTTTTTTTTTGGTCAACAAATGAAATTTTGTTAACGTAGTGATTATCATTTACTTATAGCATCAGCAGGTAAATTGACTGATATTATCAAAGTATAGCACGAAGGCTTCAAGTTGTCTTAGTACACTTTACTGGGTTAACAAAGGAGATAATCTACCCGAGCTTCCGAAAAAAGTACTGTAGCACGTATAAAAAAAATTTTAAATCAATTGAGCATACTCGGGACAGTCACCCCTGTTATGTATAATCGATTCCTTGTTTATTGTTATTATGAATAATACAAAATACCCCAGGTAAATTAAATATCTATATTTTTACAGGGGCAGTAAGTCCTCCACTCGGGATGTTAAATTGCGAATCCAGTCCGGTCCGGTCCTAGGATCTAAAAGGACGGTCCTGGACTCGGTCCTTAAATCACATGAAAATACAATACAGTTTAATAAGACTTAGATCCTGTATCAGATCCTGAATTGAATCTATCGAATAAGTTTATCCAATCAAATTAATTTTGTATTGTTATAATAATTCAATTCAGGATCTAAGTCCTATAAAATGTATTGTATTTTCGTGTAACTTAAGGACCGAGTCCTTACCGATCCTTAAAAGGATCTGAAAGGATCGGTTAGGACTCTATCCCAAAGGACCGATTAACATCCCTACGCTCCGGACAATTACTATATACCTGGCTTTAGACGATTCCGATTTATGGAACTATGTACCGATTTGATATACATAGTACGCTGAATACGTAATTTTATAAAAAATAATCTACATACACCCTACCCTTACGTGTTTTTTCTTTCGTAGTTTTAATTTATTAGCAAACATAATTCGTAACTGTAGTTGTCTTCAAGAATTCAAGATAATACCCAGCATTTAAGATAAATCAATAAATGGTCTTTATTAACCATATAAATTAGTATATATATATTTGTTAAATGCCCTTTAAGTTAAACAAAATATAAATAAATTAAGTCTATAAACTACTTGAATAAAATTTCTCGATTATTTTGTTATAATTACACATGGGTTAACTTATATAAAATATAAACTATACTAATGTTTTAACGCAAAGTACAAAATCGATAATCCAATTTAAACCATTTATTTTCCTCTTTATGTTAAAAAAAAAAAAGAACACCTACCTGTAATATAAGATTGGTGCTAAACAAAATACATTTGAGACGTTAATTCAATTCTGGTGTATTATGTATGGTTGAAACGGGTTGCAGTTTCCTTAACCTATCGACCTCCCTTCGCAAATTTTCATTTTCTTTCCGTAGATCTTCATTCTCCCGCAATATATGTTGAAATTGGCGATCAATATAATTCTTTAACCAATGAAAAGAAGTTTGGTAAATTAAAGTATATGTCGTGAAATTATAGCAGATCAGTATGATATAAGTGTGCAGATCAATATAGTATAGGCTGAAATTAAACGCTATGCCATACTGATCAGCTATAATTACTAACCCTAACGCTAATATATATAATATCGGATCAGTATAGTATAGATTCCAAAATTCAGCCTACACTATACTGATCTGCTCACCTATACTATATTGATCTGCGATTTTCAGTATCGTTGCATATTTGAATAGATGTAGCTTATATACCAAATATTCAGACATTTCTCTCGACGAACTTATATTAAATTCAAAATTGCCGTTTTGAAATGGCGAATGTAATGGACTTTGATATTGTTGTTGCGAAAGTAATCTACTATCTAAAGAAGTCGTATTGTTAACATCCCCACAAAGGTTAAGCAAGTCTTTCAATAAATTGTGCTGTATCTCGTTCTGTTGTAATAACGATGTAATTTGTGCATTCATTGCATTATAGTTCATTTGTCCACGTAAAATGGATGAAGTTGGGGATATACTAGGAGAGTGACCCGTGATAGTGGATTGTGGTGAATATATCATATCGGATGTATGTGAATTTCCTAGTTTATGTGGATTTAAAATACAAGCAACAAATAAAGTATGAAACAGTAGGGCAAATATATCATGTTTCTTTATTCAAATGTTGACAAAGACTTTTAAATAACGATTGTAATCGTATAACCAATATGATATCCTATTAAATTTCTTAAACAAATTACATGACTATTTATCTTAATTTCAACTGTTATATACCTGATGATGACGTAGAACTATTAATCTTTGTTTGCACTTGAAATCTTCCTTTCTTCGTGCTCGTAGATTTCTCAGTGCTCATAGGTTTCTCGGTAGTAATTGTATCCGCATATCCACCATCTTCCTTGTTCAATGTGGAATCATTCTTCACAGTGACAGCTGCAAGAACATCTAAAGAATGTGTAGTTGTTTGCTGGACTTCAAATCGACTCTTTTTATCTAAAATATTAGAAATGGATAAAATGATTAGAGTTCATATAAAGCTTTCATAACAGTAAAATGATTACCAGTACAATGCAGGTACCATCATATTAAGTGTCACCTGTGAGATTTTCGTTGGATTGCTCTTTTTCTAAAGAATGGCGTTGACTTTCGTGTTCGGGTTGTGAACCGCCTGAAGCAGTCCTTTCTGTTACACTGAATCTTCCTTTTTTAACTGCTTGTTCTTCATTAGTCAAGTGTTGTTGAAGTCCGCTCGAAGACGAAGGATAAAATGAATATTGAGTAACAGATGAATCGGATGGTGGGCTGGGTACAGATGGTGGTAGCAGTGTACCCGACTCAGGGCTGGTGGACTGGTCTACAAGCAGAAATCGTGATTTTTTTGGTACCACATTTGTCGCTGTACTTGAGTCCTCCTTTGAAGTTGAAAGTTCACTGGCATCAGAAGACACGTTAAACGTAACACTTCTGACTTCCTGATTGGATGTTATCTCATCCAACTCTTGAAAATCCCATGTATCTCCTCCCTTGGTATAAGTTATTGGTTTTTGCTGAACTCCTATGTTTCCAAACGAGAATGTATTTATGAAATTAATAATAATTAACAATTAATAATATAATCGGTTTAAATTATATGGCCGAAATATATATATTAAAATTACTTTTATGTGGTCTTTCTTCCAATGGTGGCAAGTTTTGCAATATTTTTGTTACCAAATATTCCTTTTTTTTAGCTATTTTGAAAAATGGATGACTTAGTAATTTTTCAGCACTTAACCTAAATAATTAAAAACGTTAATAGATTCTGTTTAAAAATCACAACACTTAAAGTATATTGTTAAAAATATATTAAAGTGTATTAACCGTTTCGATGGTTCTTTCTGCAAGCTCTGATCAATCATCTCTTTGAAAGCTCTAGAATATTTATGTTTAGTGGCATCTCTATCCAAAGTCGGCGGATCATTTGAAAGAGTCACCATAATGACCTGTTACAAGAAATGATATAAAAAATGATATAATATATAGATATAACATAACTTTTAAAAACAAAAATACTTTGATTGGAGAGTATTTGGCAAATGGGGCATTTCCAGTTGCCAACTCGATCGAAGTTATCCCAAAAGACCAAATATCGGCTTTGTAGTCATAATCGGCATGTTTCATCACTTCCGGCGCCATCCAACAAGGCTAATTTAATTTATATAACAGCGTTTTTCTCAATTTTAAAGTCACCAATGTATTAAATTTATATAATACTATTTCCAACATACTGTGCCGACAAAAGTTCTCCGAAATCCCCTTCGATCGCCGTTCTCTGTAAGAGAGGATGACACACCAAAATCAGCAAGCGAAACAGTTCCGTCTTCATCTACAAGCAAATTCCCAGCTTTAACGTCTCTATTGGATTGATTATGAATATTTTTAAGTTCTAAAAAAAAATAATAATATGTTTAATTAATGACGGATAATTTACCTGTGAATATGACCAGCTTTATGTAGATAATCTAATCCTTGAAGTGCCTGCTTCAATATAGTAGCGATAACTGCTTCCTCAAAGCCATCGGGATATGAAGTCTTCATAATATCCGAGCAAGAACCTGATAATTAGGTGAATATCTTTCAACATGTTCACATGACGTCGATAACGGAAATCCGATATAATGAAATTGAATCATTTAAATAAGCGGACATACCAGCCGACATATATGGAGTTACGATATATAAAATAGACTCATTTACAAACGAGCCATAAACACGCAATACATTGGGATGTTTAGATAGCGACATCAACTGCGTTTCTCTCTAATTATAAAATGTTTACAAAAATAAGCGTCAAAAATATAACATTGGAAAACAAGACCAGACCAAATTCATATATTATTTCGATACCCTCACTTCATCGATCTGATTTCGCTCAAAAAAATCCAAATTAATCATTTTGACTGCAACTTTTTTACTTAAAGGTTTATATATGGCACTATATACTATGGCAGATGCACCATAACCTATACAATGTATTATTTATGTTCGTTGTCATGTACAATTGAACGTTTTAATCGTATTGCCTAAGCTTGCGAGTATTTTTTTTGTGACATTTTGATAGCTAAATACCTATGGGATTTTCTTTGTTTATGTCATAGTCTTCAACGTTACTTGACAAATAATCATCTGTAGAGCTGCCCATTAACG